TCATCGGAAAGGAAGATGTTGAGACACCCTCCAGACGCCAAACAGAACACCATAAGTCACCTTGAGCGGAGACGAGGAGGATGACGAGAAGCCCGAAACGTAGCATGGTGATCGGAGTGAAAGAGAACCCTCCTCTCCTCTGCCTCCCACCCTTTTTATACTCACGCTTATCGCCCAGGCGACCGAGAACAATTTCCCATCCGATTTCCCCAGGTTGCATCCTCGGATTGCGAAATATTCTTGTGGGTAACGTTACACCTGCTGCACGATTCAAGGATGTCTAGTCACGTTATTTCACTTTCTCGTGTGGACTGATCCCTTATTATTCGGAATCATTTTTCTTTTCCTCTGTTTGGAGGATCTTAAAAAAATTTTCAGATTTCGGAAATATATTTTAAAAGGCATTCCCGTTTAGGCATCTATTTACAGGGTGATTCACAAAAAAAACAGGACACGTTTGAACGACTGTAATTGTAAAGTTGTCATAATGAAATTTTCACCATCGCGTGGCAAATTTTCTTTTCTTTCATGGTATGAATAGATGATAGATAACATGTCACTTAAAATTAAGGAGAGAATCGAAGTTTTGAAGCGGTATCACAAGTACGAAAATGCTGCAAAGTTCAGCGTCAGTGGAAGACTAAATTTAAATCTACTGCACCCACGAGAACGAACATCCTTGCATTGGGAGCAAAATTAAACAATATTGAGTGTGAATGTGCTGCGAGACCCAGGATCTGGTTCCACCTGAAGTGGTGGCTTGCCAATAATTAAAAAATCTAGAAGCTTATTAATTAGAAAGTTATTTTAAAACTTTGCAAAGGATGCAAATTTTTGCTGCCTGTGGTGCCCTCCACATTCAAGCTGAGTAGGTTGGTGACCATTTCTCGAATTGTTGCAGCAACAGAAATATCGAATTAAACGAACAACGTAGGCTGAAGGCTATTCCCATCGAGTTGAAGGACCTCCAATGCAGGAGACTCGGCCAAGGCCAAGAACTTCCGTGAAAGCACCCGTCAATATTAGAGGTAATAGCGCGTTGGCTTTTGCGCTCCTCGAAGTAAACCTTACGGATCTGAACGGGCATGGATCTTATGCGATCCGCATCCGTGGACAACCTTATAAAACGTCCAGCGGGAGAAGACAAGAACACCCAACCCCCCTTTGTGGATTTGGAACCAGATGAACGTCCCTTCGAGTGAAAACCCACCAAGGGGGACATCCACCTGGTTCCAGATCCACTTCTGGGAGTAACCGAGAATTTCCAGCGCCGTCTCTTACAAAGATTGTCTTAGAGCCTTGGAATGAAAGCTGAGATGCAATTACTCTAGAACGAAATCATAGTCGAATACAGAAAAGATAGCTTCATTATAATAATCAATATTAGGTTCGGATCCTTTCACGAATCTGCGGACCCTTACGAAAATGTCTTATAGAATTCCTATATATTCCTTTAGGAATATATAGGAATCCTATAGGATCCTATATGCCCCATAGAGTTCAGTTTGGGACCTATAGAGTTCCCTATAGAACCTATAGAGTCCTTTATTGAACCTATAGAGTTCCCTATAGAACCTATAGATCCCCCTATAGAACCTATAGGGTTCCCCATAAGGCCTATAGGTTCCCTATAGGACCCAAAGGGTTCTGTATTTGACCCGAAGGGTTCAGTATAAAACATATAGGGTTCGCTATAGGACCTATAGGACCTATAGGGTTCCCTATAGGGCTTATACGGAACCCTTTAGGCCT